AGGAGCCAGGATCAGCTCTGGGGTTTAGGATTTTAAATGAAATGCCCTTCTCGGGGGAAGCTGCAGCCAGATGAGAGGCCACAACGGAGGTGCGGTCGCTCCTCCTCGGGGTGATGGGACGTTCCCAGCTCCCGACTCGCCTCGTGCCGGGACTTTTTTTCCACGGGTGTGCTTGGAATGAACGGAGGGGCGGCGAGGCTCACATCAGGGTGATGCTCCCAAGTGCTGATGTGAAAAATCTCAGCTCTGGGCGAGGCCAGCCCGTGAGCGCTGCCTTAAATGCTGCTGCACAAACAAACCCTCCTGGGTAAACGCGAACAAGCCCCGCGGGTGCCGTCACACTGCGGGTACCCTGAGCGAGAAGAGCTTGTCAGGCACAGTGATCATCCCAGGCAGCTGTCACTACTGGAAAACACCTACAGACTTCTTCCATAGGTAAAATCATTCATGTGGCCAAATGACAGCAGAGCTCACGTCAATATTGACTTGCTCTAGTAACTGATTTCCCCCTGGTCAGCGTAATAAATATTAACTGAGTCAATTTTTAACACGAAATTCTCGTTTGTTCAAGTAGATGACCACTGAGAATTGAAAATCTGGACGCCTTGTCACTCCCCTTCCTTCCCAGGGATACTGTTTGTAACAAAATTAGTAGGGAGGGGGCGTAATTGTTTTCTGGCTAGGTCTGCTCTGAATTTTGATTTGTTGCTCAATTAATTTGGGCCCAGAATTTGCTTCTGGCCTTTCCTCCTCCCCAAAGGGTTAAAGGCTGCTGCCCTGTAAAGTTTCTTTAGAGGAACTGAATGTAGGAAATTAGTAACCAGCTCCTTTATAACCTCCTGCACCTTCACCTGTGGAAATCACTGGAGGGAATCAGTGTGTGAAACAACAATGCAGAGCTAAACCCACCAAAGTGAGGACACGGCTGCTGAGTTATTTTTCAGAAACTTAGCTCAGTAACTAAGGACTCTTAGGTTACTGTGTTCCCAGAGCCATCAGTTCCCCCCTCCTGTCCCTATCTTGAGTTTCTCTTGAGCATTGCTTGGTTCCTTCTACCCCCATAATCCTCCTTCAAGTCCCTCCATGCGGGCCCAGCTCTCCGTACAAAGGTATCGTTAATTAGCCACTCGGGAACTGAACAAAACAGTTTTTAATAGAATACAGTAAGCAGGAGCTTCATCAACCTGCACAGATGTCCTGTGAAGAGGCTGGTCCCTCCATAAGAGCTACAGCAGCAACACATGGCAGCACCACTGAGATTTTCCAGTTTTGGCTGTATTCTGTTCTTGGATGTGAATCTGTAAATAAATTCTAGCAGAGTGAGCAAAACAAAACCTGACAGAGGCGTTTTTGAATTAATACCCTGGGTATGTCATTTTTAAAGCCAGACATCCACCTTCTCTCCAGGTAACCTTAGCACCATGTTAGCTATTTCGTAACTGTTAATCTAAGTTTATTTTTGTAAAAAAAAAAAAGAAAAATACACCCTGAGGCCTCCCCAAACGCCCAGTCTTTGCTTTCAGTAAGGGTTAGCCCCGCGTTAGTGCTGCAGACCTCCGCACAGCCAAAGCCTGTGTCCTGACAAAGGCAGATTGATTATTCATGTCAAAGAACGGCAAAGAGGCGCTGGTTCCCCAGGCTCCTGTCTGTGGGCTCGGGAGGCCGCTGTCCCCGTGACCTCCTGGCAGTGGCAGGTCACCCTGACAGGTCACCTGGGGCAGGTAACATGGTAAGTGCCACCTCCCGCTGGCGCAGCAGCAGCTGAAGCAGCTTCTTCAACCTCGGAGTGGAGCTGCCCAGCAACGGGAGCAGAAAGCGAGCGGTTCCGAGACTTCCTCACATGCTTTCCCCTTCCTCCTCCTCTTCCTCCTCTGCGTTCTGAGAGCCTTTGGCTTCCGAGGGCAGGAGAGGCTGGTGCTGACACGACCGATGCTTGTCTGTGCTCCTCCACGAGGCGTGCGGGTCTGCCCTGCCTTGCTGCTGCAGGAAGAGGGGCAGGAGGTCAGGGGCGAAGGGCACGTCCCTGAAGGTGTGGAGGAGGAAGATGCCGGACACAATGGTGAGGAAGCCGCTGATGGTGCCGACAACGTTGTGCAGCACCATGTGCTGCCATTCCTTGAAGAGGATGGCGGAGCACGTCATGACCGCCGTGGTGAAGAGCACGTAGTAAACGGGTGTGACCACGGAGGTGTTGAAGATGTCCAAGGCTTTGTTCAGGTAGTTGATCTGGACGCTGATGCACATGACCAGGCACACCAGGAGCACCCAGCCCAGCGGTTCTTTCAGGACTGGCTTCCCAGAAAACAGTTCTTTGAGGGCGAGCCCCACGCCTTTGACACAGGACACAGAGAGCGAGCCGATGGCAGAGCAGACCAAAACATAAACCAGGACGTTGCTCTGTCCATAACGGGGTCCAGCCACGAAGATAAGCAGAAGGGAGCTCACCAGGACACACGCGGCGAATACAATGAATCCTCAGGGAAAGAAGAATTAGAGAGCTTTATCAGAGAACAGCAGCACCAGGGACAGTAAGCAGAGGACACGCAGGTAACTGCCTCCTCAGTCTGTCTTTTTAGCCTCCTCCTGTAGGCACTGGGAAGCAGAGTTGGTCTCCAGCCTGAGCAAAGTTGCAGAAACAGTCCTGCAAAGCACTTCTGAAGCCACCATGTCCCCCTCTGTGTTTTGAGCTTGTTAACAAGGTGTAAATCCTTTGAGCGTGTGCACTAAATGATGTTTGACTGTCACCAATCTTTCACGTTTAGAGCGTAGAGAGCCCAGCCTTTTCCCACCACAGAAGGCAGCCCACAGGCTATCCTGGACACAGAAACCTTTCCTCCTCTGGTGTACAGAACAAGAAACAGCTCATTTACCCTTCAGCTCAGTCCTTCCCAAGCTAGCCAAGTGGGGTCCTACCTTCTAACATCGTCCCCATGTGTTGCCTGATCTAGTCAAGAGGTGGCATCCCTGGCGACAGGGAGGCTGGATTAAAATGATCTCGAAGGTCCCTTCCAGCTTAGGCCATTCTATGATTCTATGATCATTTCCAAGCCTTAAGTCGACAGGACTCCTTCTATTTAACTACCTGGATCTTTCAGCTTCTCTGCCATTGACTCCAAACTGGAAACCTCTTCTTCCTGGGGAGCATGGATCACCATCACCGTGGAGCCCAGGATACTCAGGAGGCAGCCGATCTTCCCGTGAACATTCAGATGCTCATTCAGGAAGGTGGAAGACAGAACTGCACTGAAAGATAGTAAAAAAACCCCAACAAATCCAACCCCAAAACCAATTAGGCCATGAGATGGTGTACCTGAGGGAAGAGACAGAGGAAAGCAGAGCAATTGCCTTCACCGCTAAGGGGTGACAGGTGAAGCAAGGGTGTTTCTGAGCTTGCTTACCTAACGAGGACACTTAGAGCACCCAGTGGAGTTACCAGCGTTGCAGGGGCAAAGGCATAGGCAGCAAAATTTGCTGCTTCTCCGACTCCCACTGCAAGAGAAACTCTGTCAGGTGAGCATCAGAGTAGGAGCAATTCGGCACAATTCAAGTTTGCAGCCAGAAGAGAGCCTCCATCTCCACCTGAGCATCCCGTGTTTCTCTGAAGTATGTTGTGCAACCAAGAAAGAACAGCACCAGCAAGAACAAGCAGAAGCCCGATACAGGGTCTCTTGGGAAGCGAAGGCTCATGGTTACACGCACTGATCCTCAGTCACACGTGGCTACGCAGCTGGGCAGTAACCACGGAAAAAATATTTCCACAATGTTCTCAAAGCCAAAACGAATTTTGACCTGTTTCATATTTCTAAGCCACGTTCTTCTCCTGGAAGAGATTTTACAGCTTTTTAAAGGGCAAATCAAGTACAATTAGTTATTAATGTTGAAAAGTGTAAAACGGAGCTGCTGAAATCGCTGCAGCACTAAACCCACAGTGCTGGATGTGCTGTTATAACTACAATCGTCATTTCAGAAGCACTTGTAGACCAGGTCCTCAACTATTTAGCAGAGAAACCTGGTAATGCATGAGACTTTGCAATATTTTAGAGCTGTAATTAGATCAACAACATCCTCAGACACCCAGACAAAAACCAAGCAGTGCAACAACGATCATATAATAAAACATGAAAGCAACTGGAAACAATGACAGACACACTCTTCACAGAATCACAGAATGGTCAGAGTTGGAAGAGACCTCCGGAGATCATCTGGACCAACCCCTCTGCCAGAGCAGGATCCCCTCAAGTAGATCCCCCAGGAACACACCCAGGCGGGTTCTGAAAGTCTCCAGAGATGGAGACTCCACAACCTCTCTGGGCAGCCTGTGCCAGTGCTCCCTTACCCTCCCAGTGAAAAAGTATTTATTTCCTCACGATTAGGTCGAACCTCCCATTTTCCAGTTTGTGACCACTGCCCCTTGTCCTGTCACTGGACACCACTGAGAAGAGTCTGGGCCCGTCCTCCTGACACCCACCACTTTAGATGATCCCCCCTCAGCCTCCAAAACAGACCCAGCTCTCTCAGCCTGGCGGATGCTCTCGTCCCTCCTACATGTATCTTGCTACAGTTTCAGAGCGAGTACTTACTGCAGAGCAGCCCTGCCCACCAAAGCCATTCTTGCAGGTACGCGTGACCTCCTTGCCCTAAACAAGGAAGAAAGAATAACAAGAAACTTCAGATAAAGCCACAAAAAAGGCTCAGGATCCTGCAGGAGCAGCCTGGGCTCCTCCAAGGCTGCTTTGGGGCTGCCTGCCTTGCCACACAGCAGCCCCACT